ACAATGCAGACTATAGTGATTCAAACGATTAGAAGTGTGAAAATTGACAGGGACATCAAGAGGATCAGCACAGCAAGAGAAGCAGCTGTTCAACTCAAAGCAAGGAAGCAAGATCAGCGGGAAGGAGGTTTGGAGGGGGACAAACCAAAAAGCAATAGGGTTTTGGTTTTTTTTAATAGAATCAACATGCGATAAAAACACTTTTTACCAAAGTTAAAAAAAGACAACCAAAACCAAACAAACCTTAATTCATCTTCTTGTAAATCTATTTGCATTAGTTTTCTTATAACTGGTTAGAAGTTTCTCTTTTGGGACACTTGTCTTTAGCAGCTCTCAGACTAATGAAAGCTCCAGCCTTCCTCCCCTCAGGAATTTCACCACTTACGTCAGCAGAGGTCACCCAAGTAGCCCATCTCCTGTTCTTTTCCATGTGTCCTTTCAAAGGACCAGCATGCCAAAGGCTGGTACCTACCCCATAGAGGTTGTTAGAACAGCTCTCTACTGCCTCACAGCTGACCAAATCAACCCAATTTAGCAAGTAACCCTTGTATAAATCCAATATTTGAGCTCAGTTTAGGCCTTGTACTCCAACCTCTCCAGACAAAGTAATTTTTCAGTAAGTATTTGCTCTTTCCGTCCATCAGACAGAGGGGAGTCCAGCCTTCTCTTCCATCCAGGTCCTACCCTGGAGCCCACCACCTCACCTAGCTGCCATTAAGTACTCTTGATACATATTCACCCCATCCCGCAGCAACTAACTAATTAACCCTATTTATCTCAAGTCCTCTGTTTTTGCCCTATATCCACCCTTCTTTCTTTTCCTGTCATGCCTCTGCTTTTGTAATTTCCTTCATTCCTTGTGTTTGATGTGATTGCATAACCCTTGCGAGCCCTCATCTCCTCCACCTGAAGAGGTGAGCATTGGCACACCTGAGCCTTGACCCCCTTAAAGACCCTTGACACCAAGACAATCACAGTGCTTTCACCCCATACTTCTGGTGATGCAGAAGGGCATTTCCATGTAGCCAAAACCAAATAAAACATTGTGTCTTTCATCTTCCAGAACAGGGATTGTGCTGCAGAAGAACTAATTGATGGGCTGTGACTTCAGCAGAAATCCGTGGCAAAACTGAATATTGAACCTTGTTTGCAGATACCTCCCTAACACTTGCAACCACAATAACAGATTCATTCTTGAGCCAGCACTGCTTCCTCTTCTTTCAGCATTTCACAAACCTTAAGACTCCTACTGTGTCTGGAAAATAGAAACAACAATGCTGCGACAATGCTGGGGTTAGTTTCACTTGATTTCTCAACAGCCATCTTGTCCTGTGTTGTTTACAACACTCTCATGGCTCTGTTTTGGCCTTCAGTGTTCCTTATTTGAGGAGGTTAATTCTGCCCCATTGAAACAGGTTAATGAAATAAACCACATGAACTATAATCTCTTGTGGAGTGCTGCCTCGGTACTGGCACTAACAGGCTGGCACAAACAGTTTTTTCTCAAAGATCAATTATCCCCAAAACCTAATCTTCTTATTGAGAAAGTGCTGCCACAATCCTGCAATGGCTTCTAATTCTGCAGTAAGCTAGGTCAGCAAGATGTACATAGCAGCTTTCCACGTGTATCAAATTCCTGTCAGAACACTACAAGTTCACACATCCCCTTATTCTGTGATGCCAAAGACAGTTTCTCAAGCAATCTCTGTTTCTTGCACTTGTCTTCCAGTCTAGTGAATGATCAGCGGATAGTACATACAAAATAATAATATACAAGCAAACAGTCTCTTTCTCAGGTTGTTGATGGCCAACAGGAATTAATTTTAAAGAGAAGCTGAGAGGCAGTCTGTTACACTATTGTCTTCAGTATCTTACTTTAGTATTGCTGCCTGTGGTCAGCAAGGCCAGGCATTGGCCATGAGGCCCAACTCGAGTGCTGTTAACGTCACTGGAAAGCCTGACTTTGACATCTTTTTCTTATCTGTAATGTTTGCATATTCAGACAATTCCATGGCAAATACTTGGGACTTGCTTCATAGGAGCATCTTCTGAGGCAACGCAGCAGTCCCCTTGTCCTGCTCACTTGGGACTGAATGTTACTTCTAGGAAAACTACTACAGATACCTCTGCCCTATGTAAGTCAAACCTACTGAGTTCAACAGGGCTGCCTCCATGTAGCAGCTTGCAAAATTGGGCCTCAGTAGTAAGAGTGAAACCAGTTAATTTAGCACTGCCCCCAGGGAACTTTTTTTATTGCTTTCCAGTAGTGTCCAGGATGTTCTTCCTGCTTTCCAAGTAGTGAAGATGTCATGTCACTCTCCCTGCCCCATGCTGTTTGTAAGGAATGATTTTCAGTCATAGCCAATTCAAGATGGCACAGCATTTGTGCTCTAGTGAGGAAAGCTCATGTTCCAATATCAAACTCATCACTAAATAACTCACTCTCCCCTAACATCAGTTACCAGCATAACCTGCAGACACGAGGCTATCATTTCCTTTGTCTTCAGTGCCTTTGAGCCTTTCTTCATAAAATCAGGAAAAATCTATCCTAGCTAATACTGGTTCTGCAAGGGGATGACTAGGCCACCGCTTCAAGTGTTTATAGGCCCTAGGTTTTTCCGAGAGCATCACTGAACACAACATATCCACCCCACCACTACCCTTGGCTTTGGAATTTACTGCTAAGTCTGGAAAGACATCAGTGACACTTAAAAATTCAGAACACTGTCCACAGAGCAGGAATCCCAAATCTTTCATAGCTGAAAGTCACTAAGATCAGCAGAACAGAGTGGTGAACTCCATCCAGAGCACTGACTAGGTCTGCAACAGACTTCCAGGCACATCACTGCTCACGTACAAAGCCATCAGGTAACAACTGTTATATAAAGAGGTATATACAGGGAAAAAAGCTTAAAATACCTTGATTTTGCATTTAGAAGAAATGTTCATCATGCAGAGGTTTTGGCAACGCATGTGAAATCTTGGGAGTAGACCTGTCCCCTGAGCACCTTCACAAGGACACCTACAGGGTGCTTATGTAAAATACACTGGCTCCCCATGGCAGTGCAACAAGTGCTGTATTTTCAGTGCTTTCTCCAAGAGCTGCCTCAGGAAGTTTCTTCTCTAAACAGTTTACCAAATGAGCTGCCTTTCTCAAAGCTGACTGAGGAACATTTCTTATTAAAATTATGCACTTCAGAAAGGAATTTAAAGGTGCTAAGAGGACACCCAGCACAGTATCAGGACCATAACTCAAGACTTGACAGGTCATAGGGAGAAAACAGGGGGAAGTTTACCTGGATGTAGCCCTCCTCTCATCACAGTAGCCAGCAGCTGGCACCACAGGTTTCAGTCTCATCCCACAGGCCTGGGCACAGCAAAGCTCATGAAATAGCTCTACGCTACTGAAAAAAAATTCCTTTTTGCATGGAAAAATCCTGCTGAGAGGTGCACCAGGGCAGTTTTTTTCCTGTGAAAACACTGATTCTGCTCTTGCAGCAGCTAAACAAGGAAGTATCAGAGTGAGTGGGAGGGTTACCTCCCAGTAAAACCACATCCAGGTACCACTCTTTTTCAGGGATGTGAAATGGAGAAGTCAGCAAGGGAAGAAACACAGGTATACCTGCACCCCTTGCAGTGCCAAACCGCAGCTGCTACAACTGTCAGAGAACTAGTGTGAACAAGGAGCAGTATCCTTACTCCCACAGGTATCACCATACTACAATTTAGGAAACAAAGTAGATCAAAGGTACTGGCACTGTTAATCTCCTCTAACTTTTTTGCAGCCAGCACCTAAGCCCAGCAAGGGTTAGCTGCTTTTTGAGGTCTGAGGATCTACATTTCAACTGCTCCCTTCCTTGGCTTCTGTGATGTAACAGGCATTTTCTCCCAGTACATTACAGGGAAATGAAAGTTTTTCCTACTTGAATTTCACCCATCTGCCCTCAGAAGCTGTCATGCTTTGTCCAGTGACTCTTAACCAACCCAGCTCTATCTGTGCTTTCTTCTTCACCCCAGTAAAACCCCACAACTATATTAGAAGGGGTCCACAGCACAGACTGCTCCAGGATGCCTCTTCTTGACACCATGTGTGCAGTCTTGGCATGGGAATCTCATTACATGTGCTACCTGTACTCTACCTACGTATGGTAACAGCCAAAGAACGCTGTGGAAGTCACAGTACGTCACCTCCTAGCAGAAGACACCTCATAAATAAAGCAAAATTTACTGTCCTCTTAAGACAATGAGCTCCTCTGAGCACACATTCAGTTCTTGGAAAAAAACCCCAAAACACCATTCTCCTCAAAATAGGTTTTTCTTTTCAGATCAAGGTGATTCCTGTCCTGATAGTTCAGCTATCCCAGAAGAGCCACTCATAAAGAGCACCTTTGCATTCATCTCAGCGGCCCATGAAGAGCAGAATGCAGGTTTTCCTTTTTCTTGTTACAGATTCTATGGTAAGCATGCAGATGTAATATGAAATGCAAGCATAGCCAAGCATTTCATTAGTGGTGCCCCTAGATCTTGGAAATCTGACACAGTAATGGAATCAGTACTTTTACATATTTACAAAAATTAATGACTGTAACTAGCTCTGAAATTATATTACAAGACTAATTCAGACCTGCTGTCCATTCAGTTTCACTTTTAATTGATTAAACAGATCCTGAAAAATAAAGTCATTTTATTGCTCCATAGATAAGACTCTTTCCTGTGTAACTGAGATGGCAAAATACTTTGGAGGTGAACTTCAGTTAACACCAGGTAGATTCAGCTTCCACATAATGTTTAAGATACAGCAGTCTCAAAACAAGCACTCAGGTTCACATAAACGTAGCCATTTCATAAGGACTCTCGAGACAGTTGAGTCACATGGCTTGTCATAAAATTCATATACCTGCTTCAGACAAAAATCAAAGCTGTGTCAGAGCTATCTTACAAACAGGTGTCTGAATCTAATAGCACTTGTATAGTTATAAGCAAAAAAAAAAAACCACATCTTTTTAACAAAGAATTTTAATATTTTCTCTATAACAAATAATTAATCAAATAGGCCGAATCCCATGTCATCATCAGATTCTTCAGATTCCTCCTTCTTCTCTTCTTTCTTCTCCTCAGCTGAAAGAAAACAGAAGACCAAGCCAATGGTTATTTAAATTTTTTGCACCGCAAATTTTTTGTTTCAGAAAAAACAAAGGTTTTGGCGTTCTCAGCTTCCATACTATTGGTATTTCAGCCTCCATGGCTCATCTCATTCTCTTTCAATAGCCAAATACAAACATTAAGGGGACGTGGACACTACTATTGAAGAGATGCACTTTACACAGTGAAGTCTGATTCTTAGTTCTAAGCCAGACCAATCTTAAGATGGATAAAGAGCAAATGCTTCCGACTACCCAAAGAGAAATAACTCTTCAGCTTACACTTCAATCACATAGTTAACTGCCAAAGTGGAAAGCTTTGCAATTTGGACTCAGTAAGGTTTTAACAGAGAAAACTGGAACTGCATGTAACAATGCCTCTCCACAAATACTCACCGGCAGCAGGGGCAGCAGCTGCAGCAGGAGCAGCAGAGCCCCCTCCAGCAGACACTGCCACAGCTCCCCCAGCCGGCATGCTGGCAAGTTTTCCATTACCTGAGATGGTCAGAGAAGAAGGTAGTTAAATGCTCATCACAGCCACAGAGGTAAGGTGGAAAGGAAGAGACACGAGAGTGTAGAAAAAAGGTACCGTGACTCATGGACTGAACCTGTCACTATTAGCTGAAAGGAACAAGAGACTGCACCCATGGTAAGAAAATATAAACTGTTCTGTGAAAAACAAGTTTAAGATTCACAAAAGTTTAGCCTAAGAACACCAAAAGCATGTTATTAGTAAGCTTACTGCTGTACAAAGGCCCAATTTTTTTCCCCAACCTATTGTATAAAAATAGTGTCAAATACATCCAATTTTAAACATACAGAAAAAGCTTTATGTTTTCTGAATACAGCATAATAGCCCAGAAATTTATAATTTCCATATACCCCCAAAATAACATACAGGCAGCACTGGCTTCCCACTCCACCTCCTCTCCCCCCTTTTTTTAAGGGTATAGAGAACTGTGAGGGTATGACTGGATCCCACTTACAGGAGAGGAGGGGACACAAGAAAAGATTTATTTATGGCAAAGAGGACAGTATTTTAACCAAATTCTCCAGCACCCTATGAACCCTATTGCATCTCCTTTGAGATTAACAAACTGACTTCTGATTTATGCTTGTCTTCGGAAAGCTAGCTAATTCTCTGGCATCTGCCTTTCACATACCAAAGGTCCCTTGGCACTCAGAGGTCACGTACGCAGTATGTTTGCCTGTATCCCAATTTCTGAGAATCAGTTTCTAAATAATTCCATTACTTCAAGCTCTAATAAACTAGCCAAGTAAACAAACATGTTTCATATGCATGTCAGTATGTTCTAGGAAAACTATTTATTTAAAGTATTACAGAAAGCGATAGCCTAAGTGTGTTGTAAGCACATATAATGGCTCTCTGAGGTCTTGAGACCACATGCATAGCAGTATCCAGTTACTGCTCATAACAGCAAGGCCAGGCAAAGTCCTGACCACCTTTAAGCAAATACATAAATACATGCCCTTGTGCCTATGCCCTTGCATTAAAAAAAAGAAAAAAAAAAAGAAAAAAAAAGGAGAAATTCATTAATCAGAAACCTCTGCACCACCTCAGCTCTATTTTAGCCCTAATGCTCAATGTTAAAATTTCCAGCTTTGACAAAAGCCAGCAAGTAAGAGCACAACCTTCTAACAAGTCAGCAGAGTCCTGCTTTAGAGAAAAGGATGCACCAGACTTGGGGAGCTCTAGAAGAGATGTGTATTGGAGAGGCTTATGTTAACCACAGAGGGTGTAACTGTAACCTTAATGGGAGTTGACACTTACTTAACAGTCTTTACTTCCTGTTTTACATAACTGATGCCTACAAATGGATAAACACAAGGAAGAAACCTCCCAGAGAATCTGAAGGACAGGTAATTCTTCCTTTGACCAACATCTAGTCGAAGTTGTCCCTGCTCATTGCAGGGGGCTGGACTAGATGACCTTGGAAGGTCCCTTCCAACCCAAACTATTCTATGATTCTATGTCCAGAAAACTACATTATGAGCAGACTACCAGTCAGCTCATGCGTGCTTAAGTTCTCCAGTTTAATGTGGTCCACAAGCGAAACCCAGCAGATACTGGCACTGACCTGCAGGGAATTAGAATGGACCTGGATTTCAGGCATTTCAGCCGAAATCCAGAATGGAAGTCCTCAACCACAGAGCTAAGCTGATGAATAATCACCGAGCTGGCAGCAATTTTATGTTCTCAGGTCTGAGTTACCAAAGTAGTAGAGGTAATTATCTGTGACACTCAAGAGACTGTACTTACCCTGAGCAATGACATCCTCGATATTTTTTCCATTCAGCTCACTAATAACCTGTGTAAATTAAGTTTAGAACGTTAATAGTTTCAAACCAGTGTGAGTATAAGCTACATTTAAGCAGGTACTGATTAATCATCATTTGAAATGCCTCCATCCTGCTGCTAATACAGCTGCAACATTCCTTGTTCCTCAGTGGAAGGAATGAGACATTGGGACTAAAACTTCAGCTAAGTCTTTTATACCTTTCTGTGAAAGCTTTTTCATTAAATCTATTACCACGAATTTATAATGAATCCAAGACCTTGCAGAAAGGATACACAGATGTTGGGGAGCCAATTAGGAAACCCCACTGATGGTCTGTAAATCACTGAGGGACTGTCAACATCTCTTGCTTAATTCCCACAGGGAGGCTCTGAAGCACCGGGTGCTAGACTAAAAGCCTCAAGGTTCTATTCCTAGCCTTACCAAATGTTACAGCTGAGCTGGCTGGCTATCCTTGCACTGGAACAGGCAGTCCCAACTTCAGTTTTACTACCTTTGTTGTATAATCAGTGTTGAGGAAGGCAAAAGACAACAGAAATTGCTAAAGCAACAAGCACTTAAAGAAATGCCACAGACCTTACTGGTAAGTCCCTGCTACCACGAGTCAGTGCTGAACACTGCAGGGTTGCCAAACCAAGAGCTTAACAGGCACCTCCTGCTTACACAGAGCAAGTGGCTGGGGTGCTTGCTTCATGCAGAAGGAAGGTGGTTTTAGGACTTCATTAGATTTACACTGGTATAAGATACAGCCAGCACAAACAAAAAAAGGATTAATTATGATCAGAACAAATTCCAGAGAAGCTTTCCGGATATTGGAGGCTCAGGGAAAACAACTATTTGTTGACAAACACAAACAAGCCAAAGCCAGAAGGCCTGGCATTAAACAGGAACACCACCAGTTCAAACCAACATCCCAAACCATAACATGGATGCTATCAGATCAGTCAATCCATCATTTGGTCACGCCTACGGTAAAACACTGTCTCCAACTGGGAAAGTAACCTGGTTTTGCCTCCACCTCTCTGGAAACACTCCCTGTACAATGTACGGGGCAGTTGATAAGATCATTTATTGGTTTTTCCCCACCCCCCGCCAATGGCCATTTATTTTTAAGTCCACAAGACTGAAAGTCAATTATATCATAAGACACGTTCTAATCAAGATACTCTTTTCTTAAAACGTCTGTTTTGCAGCACAACCATTTCAGTACTGATTTCGAAAACCTTCCTACGTATTATTATTACCTTAAATGTCCATAATTTGCTTGTTTCTTGGGTGAAGAAACAGATGTTTCCTTGCAGTACACTAAGTAAGAACTTATTACTGAATATTAGCCCTTTGAAAGCACTAGCTTTTAATCAGTACCGACCAAAAGCCAAAACATTAAATGTTAAGTGCTGAACAGAACTTATTTTCAATACATATTTATCTGTGTTAGCCACTATACCCTTGAAAATTATTAGACTGAACGGTCAGAAGTCAGCAAAACCAGACAGGGAATCTTTGCAGAAGACCGGTGTTAAATAAGAAAGCCAGACTTCCACAAACACATTGCAAAAATAGTTCTGATCAGTTAGGCAGTGTTTTAGGAATCACACATGTAATGATCAGTGAACGCCTGAACCAAACAATACTAGTTCAACAACAAACCAACTACAGAAACACCGAAGCCAAGGGAGCAGCTCCAATGTCTGATGCCAAGTGGGCCATGACCATCTGGAACTAAGAGGCAACGCCACCTTGTTCATACGTTCATCGTCTGTCTCAATGCCGACGCTATCGAGGATCTTTTTCAAGTCCTTTGACGTGGGAGACTCGTTGCCACCGAGGACTGCTAGAAGGTAAGCTGCGACGTAACGCATCCTGGAAAACAACAGAGCTGGATCTTCAGTGCCAACGAACCGGTTCCATGTTCGGAGAAAGTCTACCTCCCCACGCAGGGAAGCAAACTTCACTTTCCCGCTACAACTGCTTTGCTCTACTTCTAAAGGAAGCCCCACGGCACGCGAGGCCGCGTACCAACGTCCTGCCAGCGCACAACAGCACCTAACACCGCAAAGCCGCGGCGAGACCCGCCCTGCACCGCTGCTCCCTCAGCGGCCTGCTCGGTCTAACATCGCCGGTGCTCCGCTCCACTCCTCTCCCTAAGGAAAGCGGCACCGCGTCCTCCGGAACACCTCTTCGTCACCACGGCTCACCGCGGCTTTCGCCTGAGCCTGCCCTGTCCCCTCCCTCCGCAGGCCCAGCCCGGGAGAGCACATGGCCGCCATTTGCCGCACACCCTCCCGCACCAAGTGGTCTCGCCAGAGCTCCGCTGGCGGCCGCGGGCTGGAGCTGGTGGGCCAGGAGCGACCATTCCCCCGGGGGGAGGGAGGGGGAAGAGGCAGCCGTGCGCTTACTTGGTTGGCGGCGGCGGCACGAGAGACAGGCCTGGGACGTGCGCTCGTGATGGCAGCACAGCAGCGAAAAGGAAAGGGCGGTGCTTCGGCAACGGCTTCTTCCCGTCACCCCGCAACAACGGGCGCTGTCATTGGGCCGACCCGGCGAGGAGCCGCGCGCTTTGCTGCTGCCACCCCCGGAAAGGGGCACATGCGCAGTGAGGGAGGCACACCCCCTAGCCTGAGGGGGCGTTCCCCAAAGGAGGGAGCGGGAGGTGTACCCGATGGTGGGAGGCGGGACTAACCGTTGCGGCAAGGTCTGGCATAGAGCCGAGGACCAAACAGGCTTCACTGTGTAAAGCACATCCCTTCAGTAGTAGTGTCTATGTGCCGTCATATCTAATCGTAGAACAGTTTGGGTTGGAAGGGACCTCCAGAGGTCATCTAGTGCAACTTGCTCTTCAATGTACTGAGGATGCCGTACTCCATGTGGGGTCTCACCAGAGCAGGATAGAGGGGCAATGACGGGAGTTATTTCTTTCTGGATTAGGGAAATGAATGAAAGTGTAAAGTTAATATAAGTGCCAAAATCCACTGGACCCAAATAAAACATAAGGGCTGCAGCAATAGGGCTCTGAGGAGGCTTTGGCTGCCCCTGCCTTGCGGCCCTGGAGGCTACACAGAAAGCTCAGGTGTGAGTGAGAGTGCTCTCTAGTACCTCCAGAAGGCAAGCATGCTCCCAGTTCTATAACTTCAGAGTTATGAAAGTAAGTGCTTCAGAGAAACAGTTCTCAGCAGTTACTGTCTCCTCCCCATGGGAAGAGCAATTTCCCTCAGGGCACTGCAGCTTGTGTTCAGCTTTGAGCAAGAGGTGCTTTTCCCAGGGGACCACTGTGCCATAGCACTGAGGCACCAGCTGGAAACTTGCTGCTACGGGAAAGGGGCTTTGCCCCTCTCAGTGAAATGGAGAGCAGCGCAAACACTGCGAGGCCTCACCAGGATGCAGTGTTAGACCAAAGGCTGTCCCTCACTCCAAGGCTGGAGTCAGGCACCCTTTGGAGTGCAAGGGGCAGCAGATTAGCAGTGGCAGAGCCTCGGGGCTCTGGGCAGGCCAAGAGCACTCAGTGGTGTTTACAGTCCCTGCTCCTGCTATCCTGCCTCTTACCCAAGGCGGTAACAAATAGAAGTGGGAAGTGAACATGAAGCAAGAAGAAAAAAATGGGAAATAATCACATACAGTCATGGATGTAACTCAGGAAGCACTTGAGTTGTTTCTGCCTTACAAGAAGGAAACGTTTGATAAATACAACACAGTTAAGAGAAACACAAGTAGAACAGACACCTCAGATCATAGCTGACAACAAACTGCTCTGTTCGAAGGGAGAACTTCTGAAGCAAAAAGCTCAGGACTTCCAAGGACAATGACAGCAGTCTATAGGAAGAGGTGCTAGATGTGACCTGCACAACGTATTGCCTTTAGCAGACTCTGGCTTATCAGAAACATCTTTGTTCAAGTGCAGGAAAATTGGAGCACACCACCAGGAGCTGCCCGTGGCCCCCGTTCCTGCAGGGTGAGCTCATGCCTGAGCCCGGGGGGACTGTACCGGGGCCAGCCGGGGTACCGAGGCCATGGCGGGCTGGAGACATCTCATTTGTGACATTCTGTGACAGCGGGACGCCAGTGCCCGGCTCCCCAGAGCCGCCTGCCCCTTGTCCCGCTGCATCCGGCACCTCCTCCGGCTCGTCCCGCCCCGGCGGCGCGGATCAACGGCAAACTTTGCAGGAAGTGCCTGGGCTGAGCCGGGCCGAGCCAAACCGAGCACGGCCGGGCTGCCGGGACCCAGGGTTTGTGTGCCAGGGGCCGGGTGCGGAGGGGTGAGACAAGCGTGGCCGTGCTCCGCGGGGCACAGGGCGTGTGCCTGGCGGCTCTGCTGTAGCTCCTGCCGGGGGTCCCCGGGGCTGAGCCTCGGCTCAGGGGCCCGGCGGGTGCGGGGTAACGGGGGCAGGTGAGGACAGTCGGGGTGAGTGCGTGTTGGAGCGTGTGCACGTATGTGTGTGTGTGTGTATGTGCATGTGCACAAGGGTGACTGCCCGTGTCCCGTATGCATGCCTAAGGCTGCATTGGTGGACTCTGAGCCTCTCCAGCCTGGCCAGTTGAACAGACCAGAACTGTCTGGTGCCTTCACCATCAATAGCTTTACAAAGCTATAGCAGATGGTCTGTTTGCTTACCCATATCTGTAAGAGCACTGTGTATGTGTTGTGTACAGCCTTTTTGTAAGAAATACTTAGCTTTTTACTAAATCAGTAGTTTCCATTTAGCTGTGCTTCCTGTCCTTAGGTGTCCATAAGGTTTCTGCTCTTTCAGGGAATCAGGGGAAATGCCTCCCCCCAGACAAGTGCCTTGGGAGCAGTGCTGCCATGTCCCACAGGTTCCCAGTAGAAAGCCCTGCTCCTCAGGGTTTCGCAGGGACATTAGCTTGCTTCTGCTGGCCTTGGATGGTAAAGCCATTAGAAGTTTCTGTAGTTCTAATCACTCACTCAAAAGAAACTGCCATTTGTATATCTGATCCAAAGTTCTTTAACAAGAACTCCTGATATTCACACCATTGGCTAGTTCAATTGCTAAGCTCAGGAGGAGCTGCAAAAAATGAAGGAGGTGTGAAGAGCAGTGGACTTGGAAGTTTGTGAGTACTGGTATAAAAACAAGTGTAGTGCCTCTGCTTATCTTTGCATTACGGTGTACTGTGATGGTAGTGGCTGATTTTGAAAGTCCAAGGTGGATGAAAGCTTCTTTACACTAATAAGGCAGAGGAATAATTAATTTATTCAAATTCCATACTTCTGCTCCTTCAGGTTCAAATCCTTCTTAGCATGCACTATGCTTATCTACTTTTCCCCTTTCTCTTTATACCTGGAGGGTGCTGTGAGAAGAGAAAACAAAGACTAGCTGGTAACTAGCCTGCCATGGTGTTGGGCCCCGTTTGCTGCATTAGAGTATCCCTGCGGAGGCAAATCTGCAAGATCCCACTGGCAGTCCAGTGCTCCTGTGCCACTGGCGTGCCTTTTCTAACCCCCTCCTTGGCCCTGCCACATTTGCTCTGCTGCCCTTTGCCCATTTTCATCTATGCTCGCTTTTATCCCATTGGCACCCAGTTTCACAACCGGGTTCAATGAGGACTCATCACAGCCTGCAAGCAGCCTCTGGGCTCTCCTCTTGGCTCAGCTCTCCCTGTCCCTTTTTCCCCCCTACACTTGTAAAGATTCTCACTGATGCACTCTGAAATCTGCATAAGGCATAAACCTTTACATTTATATCTTTTAAGGTTAATATTGCTATTTATTTTGATGGTGGGTAATTGCTCCATTCCCTGCTGAGATACTGGGTGGGAGAACTCACAGGTTTTCCCTTGGAGGAGAAACCTCTGTGGCATCTGTCACCCTGCATTTCTGTGCCCACAAAGCTTTCAATAATGTGTGTGTAATCCTTCCTCTCCTCGTGCTGTAATTACCAGCTGTTTTCAGCTGCCCTGGATTGGGGCAGGAGGCCTTCATTATGCACTTATGTTCCCTTTCAGACCCATCTTTCCTCCTCCTCCTCGTCCCGGCTGCATTGTGGTGCCGATGGTGCCTGTCTGCCTGGCAAGTCAGAGCATGTCCGGACCCTGTGAACCAGCTGCAGAAGATGGCAGAGCTGCTGGGGCTCAGAGACGAGTGCAGGGAGGGGGCTTTGGGAGCTCCTGCGCTTGCTGCCTCCTGCCTTGCAGACAACAGGCTGAACCTGGATGTGTATCTTGACGGCTGCTGCAGGTTCCTCCAGCTGTTTGAGGGGCGACAGGGAGAGGTGCTCCAGGTGGAGTTCCTCCGGCTCAGCAGCAATGATCGCCTCCTTGGCACCACACTAGACATCCTTCCTCATCTGAAGCACCTGAAATCCCTGGTGATCAAAGGTAAATTCCATCCAACTTTTCTAGGCTCAGCTTTTTCTTATTTTAAACCTCCTCTGCACATCTACAGGACAAACTGCCCTTGGAATGGTTTTGTTCTAGTGCCCCTTACTACAGCTTTGGCTCTTAGCCTTGCTCAGATTTGCATGCAGATGTCAACAAGATATAGCTTCTATACTCTTATTTCCTTCCTTTGTTTCTACATCTGCCTGGTGAGCTGGGTTTGGAGTCTGGTTGGGTTGATGCTGTAACATTTTCTTAAGTCATCCTCTAGAAGAAGAGCATTTCTTGCACAGTTATGCAAGGAGAGGGGCATTGAAAGGTGTTGGATATTTTGGTAAATGTTCAGCCTCTCTTTAATTTTGGGAGTCTTTGCTGCATTTCCATCTGAATCAGTCCTAGCTTAATCATTGCTTAGTCTCTGTGGGTGTAGGTTTAACAGAGTTCAAGACAGACCGAAAAAGGCTGCTCAACATTTTATCGGAAGTATGACTCAGGGTGTGCACATAATTTGTGACGTGTAATGACTATAAATATTAGATCATTCTTTGACTTTCTCATCTCTTTATTATAGAAGGATCTCAATACAAGTGCTATAATTTCTGTACCAGACTGACTCATTTGCTGTTTGGGAGGTGGAATTTTAAAAAGAAAAAAATAAAAATGAGAGAAAAGTGGGGAATTTGTAGCCAGATTTTAGGGTTCTATCTGAAAACTGAAAAGATTGAGGTTTGTTTCTGTATCTGCCACAGATTTTTCATGTTAATGATTTCATTTGTCTTTCCCCTTTTAGTAAGGTGAGGGTAACAGCAGTACCTTTTATCAGGCTTGTTTTGTGACATGTACACACACCCTGAGCATCCTGAAGGGCAATAAAAGAGTTTGCTAAGGTTTCCTTATGTACAAAGTGCAATGTGCCTGTTAGTTTGATTGGTCTCAATTTTTACCGTGATACGGCATAAAAAATGTTTGGTGTCCTCTGCTGTATGTGTATACAAATAGCAACGGAGGGGTATGATGAAGTGGAATGTTTTGGAAATGTTCCTTTTGTTCACTTGACTTATTTTCCCTGGGTGCAGCCCTTCTCCAGGCTGAGGTGGGAACTTGTGTCCTTTCCTCTCGGCCCTCTCTGGCCTACGCAATACTGAATTACCTGTTTTTTTCCCCCACATTTTCACTGTTTTCCTCATGTCTCCAGTCTTGCAAGGGCAGATCTCAGTCCTCAGGGCTGTTTGTCACACAACAGTATTGGTGAGGGATGGAGGGCACTGATGCAGGCAGGGAAGGTGAGTAGGAGGCTTGATGGAATATAAGCTGCCCTGCTGAGGGGTGGTAGATGTGTGGAGTGGCCTGGCTCTTTCTGAGCTTCGACTCCAGATGAGTTCAGCAGAGCTATACTTGTTGACTGTGGCATCGATTTCGTAACAGGTCTTCACCATTATACCTCTTTCACTGATCAGGAAACGGAGGCAAGGGGCAGAAACCCTATTTCTGTATGAGTACTTTGTAATCAGTGCTGCTCACTGGGGTCAGTAGCTCCACATCTTCTGTGTCTCTGTGCTAAGGAGTCTCACGTGAGGCTGATGAGGTATCCCTGTAGCATATTGACCTCTTCCTCCACTTCCGTCCACACCCAGGTGGCCATGCCAGGGATGAGTTTGGTTCATGTCAGCATGGCTCTCTGACAAGCTTACCAGCAGACATGGGGAACCTGAGGTGTCTCACCCACCTGGATCTCACTTTCAACAGCCTGTCCACCTTGCCCAGCTGCATCCTTCATCTCTCCAGCCTTCGTGTGCTCCTGGTGAGCCACAACAGACTTGTGGCACTCCCTGAGGACTTTGGCTCTCTGAGCAAGCTGACTTTCTTCTCTGCTATGAAAAATCTGCTGAAGGACTTACCTCAGAGCATTGGGGACCTAGCAGTGCTGCAGGACCTGGATCTCTCTGAAAATGCTTTGGAATTCATCCCTGAAGAAGTGGGGAATCTGCATAACTGCACAGAGCTGGATCTTTCCGGGAATCGCTTATCAAGCATCCCAGACTCCTTAGGTATGTATTTTCTAGGGGAAAAGAAGGACATGGGCTTGCCTAGCTTTTGATGCAGTCTAGGACCCTTGAGGCCCTTGGTCTCTGTCCCCAGAGCTGTTAGCACAAAACATCTGTTACGTCAGAGCCGAATGCGAGGGATATCCAGACGAAACATGCTTGGTTCAGTCAGTCCCTTTGAGCATTAAATCCCTCCTGACCATGCTTTCTGCTTCTGTGCATCAGCAAGACTGGTAAGATTTCAATACAATTTACAGTAACTGAGGATCTGGCCAGGCTGGTTTTGGGTAGCACACAAGTCTGGAAACAGAAGAGCTGGAGTTTCATGGGATGCAAATTTGGGCTTGAAATCATGCTGTCTAGTGTGGACCAGTCCACAGAACCAGGCTCTGGTTTCTGTTGCCCAGCTTTGTGGCTCTTGGGTCTTGTATTACTCTGTGCCTGGGGTTGTCATTGGTGCTGTTACGGAAGCATCTCACATCAATACTTGTAGCTGGGTACTGAAAAGCAGAGGATGGAGGAGGTTGCCTTGCCTCTTAGCTAATTCCCTGCACCCCTTTATTTTGTGAGCTAAGGAGATGTTTGGGCTCATGTGCTTGTTTTTTTATTGTGTGTCTGTGTACATGTGATGAGGAGAATAGGGGTGGGGGGTGTCAGAACTTACGTGCAATGCAATTAGCAGCATGGACGGGGGGTCACTTCTTGTTCTAACTTGCAGCCAATTTGAAGTGTCTGCGGCGGCTGCACCTCCACAGCAATCTCCTGGTGACTGTTCCTGCCTCGCTTGCCAGCCTGCCCAACTTGTCCAGACTTGATCTGCAGAATAATTGCCTCAGTGCTGTCCCCCCTGAGATCCAGACCTTGCCATTCGTGCGCCTCCGAGGCAATCCCTTAGGAGAAACTGAGCCATCCCCACAGGCTGGTAATTGCAAGGCTTCTGCTGCTCCGGGTTCTGAAAAGCTGCTCCCTCAGTCAGCCCAGCATGGTGTAGATGGGTTTGGATTAGAGAACACAAGCAGGGGGGAATCAGATCAGTATTTATTTGTCTGGAATAATAATTAGGTTGTAAGGATACAGACGGTACTAGTTCTCTTTTTACAAGCCCAAGCCTAGTCTGAAGGGCTCAGTGGTCCCTGGAATTAGTCTTGCTCAGAAAGGTTTTACAGTGGAAGTGAAAATGGGATTCACAGGAGGTGGATTAGGGGAGGCCCTTAAAGGGGTCCAGCCCTTTTAGAGAAGGCAAGCACCAGTTCTTGGACTTGCTGCTTGGCCCTAAGGTGGTGGTGGCTCATGCTAGAAGCACAGAGAGCAATAAGAGGTCATCCTGCTGAGCAGTTACCTCCTGCTTTCCAAGGCTGCAGAGGAGCAGCTCCTTGTCCAAGATGCAGGTAATGAATAAGCAGGAATCTGAGCAGGGTTTCCTAATGGTGCTCATATTCACAAGAGCAAGCACAGATTCCCAGTGGTGGCTCTAGGCAATCAAACATGGCCCCAAGAGCTGCAGGGGTGATGGATTGAAATATTTTCTCATTCCCCCAGCTTCTGGGTTCTGAGTTTTCCTGGGGGAGAGTCAGCATTTCCAGTGTGTCTTGGAACCCTTAGGCCTCTTCATATCCTGCTGCTTGATCTGAAGCCCACTGCAGTGTGAGCAGGGTTCCTTTAATTACTTCTGTCAGGTTAGAGTTAAGCCAAAGCTGAAATACAAGTTAAACCTTTCTTGTACACCCTGATCTAAGTAACATCTGTGTCCTCCCTCTACCCAAACCTTCTTATTGCCGCAGATGAATCCAGTGCTGGAAGACTACGAAGACTCTTCCTTGCATCAGGAGAGGACAGGTAAGACTATGCTACCAAGAACCTACCTAACAGTCATGTAACAACAGCCCAGACACGACTGGCGCATGGTGGGTATTGCACGTACATGTAGTAGCTTATGGCCTCAGTAGGCCAGTCAAATGGAAGGTTTGAGATTCTTAGGTTGATTTTTGGAGGGCTGAAGTCATTGCATACATTCATGCATTTTTTCTGGAAGCTTTACTGTCACCTCTGAAGGCTGCAAAGTGGTCCTGGCCTGTGGCATCCGTTTCTACTTTCCACCGGGGGCTGCCTCTGACCCTCTGCAGATCTACTTCCGAACTCTCGCACCGGACCCTCAGTGTGTAAGGCTGCGACACCATGATGTCCTGCTGAGTAGAGTCCTGGAGCTGCAGCCTCATGGGGTCAAATTCCAGCAGGTGAGGATGCATCCAGGCCTTCTCCTTGTCAATTTGACCCTGCAGTAGCTTGGCAGAATCTTCTGAGAGAGTCTTTTGGGACTTTTGAGAGTGCTGTCCCCATCGCTACTGCTTTTAAGTAGCTGCAGGACTGCCTTTCAAAGAAGCCCCGCTGCAAAAACTCAGAAATGACACAGCCAGCTTCTCTGGCACTGTGCTGGTCTGACTCCTTTGCCTTCCCCACTGTTCCTGCTTGAGCTGAGCTATAATCTTCCTCACACACCTCGTGTGCCAGAAGATAAGTGCTTTTCCAGCATTTGATCTTAGCCTGCAAGGAGAACAGTTCAAATCCTTCTCTAAAAGTCTGACTGTGTGGTTTTCATTCAAGCTGGTGAGCACTTATACCACCAGCTCCATCATGGCTGATAGCAACTAACTGCAAAAGTTGCTTTGCCCTTACTGTCCACAAGCTACAGAACTTTTCCTGCCATCACACTACATAGTGGGCCTGATCTCTCATGTCACCTCCCTGGCAGCTGCAGGTCAGGGCAGGTTCCTATCTCCTTCTTCACTCCCTGCATATAGGACATGCTTTGTCCTCCACCTTTCCATCTGCACAGGAAGTCACACAGCAGAGCTAGGCTTGTTTTTATCCTTTTCTCCTGGTGTCTCACAGGAATGCTTTTTTGCCAGGAGGTGCGGATCTCGATGCCATATGCCTCCCCTCAGACCCTTCACCAGCGCGAGGTGGTAGTGCGGACCTTCAGTGGGCAGAGCTGGAGTGATTTGAGGACAACAGTGGAGCAGAAGAGAAAATCAAAGGTAAGCAATTTGGAACAACCAGTGACACACATGTTTCTGTTCCCCTCTTTGGTTTTGCCCAGCCACGAGTGATCTCATTTGAAACATCTCATGAGCTGTGTTTTGACCAGCTGCTATAAAAGGTGGATTTTAGCTCCAGGATTCCTTAATGGAGGTGTGTTTCCTGAAGACGATGATTTGCACTCCACCATGCATTATCCCTGTTCTAGTGCTTTCATCTGCTCAGCTGCTACTGGCACTTATTTTCTTACCTTTATTGTATTATTTTATATGTCTATATGTTTTCTTTTCTTCCCTGTCTTCTGTTACAGAAGCATGTGGCTCACTGCAGTGTCCTTCACTTCTCCTGGTTCCTCGTTGTATCTCGACTTGTGCAAAATGAATGCAAAGTGCCAACAGAGGGGACACTGCTCTTTTCTAGTGTGGATCCAAACATCAAAGTGACCTTTCCTCCTGGAGTCACTGAGCAAACTCGCACTGTCAAGATGCAGGTATGCACACTTTAAAAACCAAACTTTGGTAAGCTCTAGTTCAGGTGTTGTCCTATGCAAAGTAGCAGGGCTGAAGGTGAGATGTCTGCCCTAGGGTAACTTGTGTCTGACATGGGCTGACCCATCTCAGATCACCTTCTGCTTTAGCTTCCTTGCTTGCAAAGTGGGCTGTGCTCCAAGCTGCCCTGTGTGGGGAAGGGATCTTTGGCAGATAAGCATGTAGCTGCTGTGAAGGAAACACAAGGATATATTGCCTGTTGTTCTCTTGCAAAACATACTATGAGTGGAAGAACAGCTTAATGAATGAGACTGGAGGGGGGGGTTATTCATGTGGATCTAATTCTAAAGCTACCCACTAAAGCAAACTTCCGTAGAGTTGCTAGATAGTGCTAAATGCTACTGTAATTCCTTGATCTGTCCCAGCTTGCCTGGTTGACACCAGCGCAGACTTCAGCCAGAGTTCACTGCATTTCCATTTTTCACTGCGCCCTGAGCCAAGAGCGGCATTTGCAGTCTGGGTAATGGGGGACTGGGTAAGCGATGTGGGAATTTGGGTGCCAGCCTGCTCAGCTCAGTGTGCTGTCTTCCACATCCAGGTGCTGCCAGTGTCTGCAGGAGAGCTAGAGGAAATCACAGCCGATGCAGGGTGCAGAGCCAGTCCCCTGCTCTGCCTCTCCCAGGACTCCCTGGTGGACTTTCTCAGGCCAGTAAGAATTCAGCTGCCCCTCCCACCCGGGGTCACAGGTCAGTTTATTCCCAGAATTGGCAAAGAGAAGTGCCGCATGTGGAAAACCATGAGTGGCAAGCTGGGAATTCTGTTTGCCTCTCCTGTTAATAATAAAGCTTGCTGCTTTTCCTGTGGGAACAGCAAGGTGTATCTGCTGAGTGAGTGGTGGTGCAGGGTGGTGGCAGCTGAAGGTAGTTCAGATCCAGCAGATCAGCACTGGGCTTCACAGACCACCAGCACAGGCTGGGGGAATGGATTGGCATATGGATTGCTCTGCTGAACTGCATGTGTATTTAGACTGCTGGGTTTAATATGATACGTTGAAGAGGCATTCCTGCCAACAGAGGAGATGCTTTGTTAAAGGGCTTTGATTCATGGTTGGGAATAGCTTGAAGCAGATGAAGGTGTTGCCTTCAGGGGTCTGCCTTCTCTCTTACTTTTTTGCTCATGAATCAGTTGCCAAGCCACTGCTGTTGAAAGTGTATATCCCACTCTGAATACTGCTATGAACAGCAAACAGCCACAGTCCCTTCTCAGGGATTCCTCTGTTTGTGTGCTGAATACCCCGTGTCTGCTAAGTCCTATTTTATTTGACCTTTCCTGGCTCTTCTGTGAAGATGTAAAATCTTTCTGGGTGCTGATTGGCCTCGATTGTAACACTACCTAGTATTTATGTCTGAAGTGCATTGGCATTGAAAAGCCTGTCAAATGAATGTTTAGAAAGAGAGAACTTAATAGCCCTAGATATTGGTGATGCGAATTATCTAATGAATCTCTTGGGGGAAATCAGCACACTGTCAGTTCAAGTCTGCATATTCTGCCAGAATATCCTGGAAGCATTGGAGTAATCTTATCCTTTTATTGCTGCTCTTCTTTGACCAAAGTTCAGCCCTGGATGCTGAAGAAAAGGCCACAAGCCTTAATTTGGTGCTTTTACAAAGTGAGTCACCCAGCAGTGTGGCTGGGTTTGTAAAGCCATGAATAAAGGCTTCTGCTGCATCTAGCATCTCTCGATTGTCATTGGCTTTAGGCATAAATTTGGATCAGTCAAGATTGCATCTTCTTCATGGTGACCTGGAGGGCCAAACCTGGGATGACATTACCAGTCAGGTGGTGCTGGAATTTACCCATCTTTATGCAGTGTTTGAAGTCACCCACTTCTCCTGGTAAGTGTAGGATTAGTCCCGAGGAAAAGGTGGGATTTTTGTCAGTCTTGCTTTACTATACCGTGACTTCTAATTCATAGTTCATGCTATTTACCCTACCTGTTCCCTTTTCCCTTTGCAAGTCAGGCCTAGCTTAGCTCTTTGTCTCTACCCATCATTCTTTAGAGTCTTGTGGGTGTGACACTGGATTCTCTTCCTAGGCAGGATCCCTCCTTTTTCTTAATTCCTTCTCTGCCAGGTATTGGCTGTGGTACACCACCAAGACCTACATTGGAGGCATTGCCAAGAAAGTCTATGAGCGTCTGCGAATGTACCAGGTGAACTTCATTGCTCTGCAGAGGAAGAAGGACCCTGAGCAAGTCCTGCTACAGTGTATCCCCAAGCACAAGGTCTGGTCTAGGTTGCATTGCCTTGTTCCTGAGCTTCTTGGGCCTCCCTATGTAGGATGTAAGGGCAGCAGTGGGTCCTGTTCACTGCCCAGGGTCAGGGCTGGGGTATGCTGTCACCACACTGTGTTGGTAGCGTGATACGAGGTCACTGGGATCTGGGAGAAGGAAAGTTCATTCTACATAGCTGTGCATGGCATGCAGTGATTTCCTCCCATGCAAACCCTGAGGACTGGGCTGCTAAAACCAGCTGAGGCACAGTAAATGGCCGTGTGGGTGCTGTTAGCATCCAGTGAACATGAGGCAAAACATGTTGACTTAAACTTCAGCCAAAGATCAAAGTTAATGTATCACTTGTCTGACATGGGCTAGTAGTGTGGGGAGAAGCACTGCTTTGGTTTCAGCTGGACTGGTTAGAAATGGTACTCTTCCCAATGCTCCTTGCTGTTTACAGTTCAAGCAGAGGAACAGAACATATGACCCCTCCTTAAATCTGCTTCAGTGAGACACCAGGTTAGTTTAATGCTACTAGTTTGAGCTAATCTGGCTGATTTTGTATGAAAGAAGATGGGAAGGAAACGGGAAGTGTTCACGCATTCTCTTTTGCCACCTCTGCCCTAGCGGTATCTGCCCTCAGTGGTGTTGCTTCAAGATGTTAACAAAGTAAGTGTTCGTGTGTGTGTAGAGCTTGGCAAACAGTGCAGCTCAGTCAGGTGAGGGTTATTTCAGGTGAGGGTTATTCTTTTAATGTTGTGTTCTGGGCTAAACTTGTTTCCAGAGAAGGCAGCAATGGCACTCACAATAAGATCGGGGTTTGGGGGTGTCTGTATTCCTGACAGGGATGGTCATGGGGTGAGAAAGAAGATTTATTGATACAAATAGCAAGAAGAAAAGACACCTTGGCTCTAGGCGGACCCTTGCACTGTCTCTGAGACCCCAGGTCTGCCAGTATGATCACAGGCTGCAAAGCCAAAAGTATTTTTCTGGTGTTCTCAGCTCTGTGCTATTGTAGCATGTTCTTTTTGCAGAGAAAATGTCTTTAATGGCATACTGTGAGGGGGATAAAGTAGCAAGTAAATCCCTCCCTGTCTTTGAAGGTTACTGTCCTGTTGAAAAGATAGAGACATTGCTGAAAATGCTTTTTGAATGGCAGCTTTGGTATGGTCTAACTTTGTTTGTCCACATAGATTTTTCTGCTTTTTACTTAAGAGAAATATGGAAGGCACAAAACTCAGAGCACCACTTCCTTGTCTGTGTAGTGAATATACCTGGGATAGGAGGGGGTGGGTGTTTGTTCATTTGTTCACATCCTTTCCATGTAAAATGGACCTCCCCTGCTGAAGGTGAGGGGAACATCATGGGCATAGAGACACTGGTCAGCGGACAGACATGCTTCAGATCAAACACAGGGTCCTGTGTTGTCATCCTTGTCAGGTTGACCCAGTGCTGAAGAAGCTACAGGATCGCTATCGAGGACCTGAGCCATCTGACATGGTGGAGATGTTTGAAGGAGAGCAGTTTTTTGCAGCTTTTGAGGGAGGCATCAGCATCGATATGGGTATGGTACTAGTGGGCTCCTTTCTGCTCCTGCCTTTTGTGCATGCTTCTGTTGGGGGCTGTACTCCTTTCTCCCATAGCATTCCTCTCTGTCTCCAGCTTGCCCACAGCTCACAGCAGCAGCCCATGGACACCGAACTTGTCATATTCTCTGGTCAGCCAGCTTTTGTGTCTACTTTTCTCTATGAAAGTGCCATTTGCAGGCTTTCATTACCTGTCATGTTGTAGCCTGCAGAGGGCAATAGCCAAGTGTGTTTATTTTATGGCAGATCCACTTCTGCAGCCAGCTTTGCCCTCTTCTGGCAATCTTAGACACCGCAATGGAATGCACATAGTGATCCAATTAAATGTCGCCCATTTCTGAGAGAGCACTTTAAGATTATTTTTTTTTTGAGAAGGTACTTCTGAAATAATCTAGAGTAAAGAATTCCCTGTAATGGAGGCACTAGAAGAGAAGGGAAGAGGGAGCAGGACCAAAACTCAGGGTGGTGTTTTATGCCCCAGTGTGTCTAGACCTGTTACAGCTGCAAACGGAACCATTTTCTGCATAACCTGAACATATAGCCAAGTTTCACTGCAGTAAATTAAGCACAACTCTTTAAAGAATAATAAAATGCACTGGTCTTTCAGTTCATGAGGCCATGAGGCCAGAGTCTGTCCATCTGCCCTGATTTAGGCTGGGCTCATTTCTATTACATACATGAATGTTGTACCTGATAACATTTTTTCCCTTTAGCTCTATTCTTATTTCTGCACCCACTGCAGAAATGATGAAGACAGACCTATTTCTGTGCATTACAGGATGCTATTGCTGCTGATTCTACCCTCCAAAGGACAAAAAGACAGAATGGACCAAGGATGGGAGGGAAGTTGGATGGACTTGACTCCATCTGAATGTCTTGCTTGGCCTTGCTTTCCATTCCTGAACTCTATCTCCACCTTGTGGCTATTCTCCTTTTTCACCTGTAGGACATGCTTTCTCCACAGCGTGTTTTCTGCTTTCTGGTGTTACCCAGCGAGGAAGGGGGTCGGGGTTTACAGTTCTTTCAGGGATGGGTAGAAGCAGTAAATAGTAGTATGGAGGCTGCTAGTGGATGATGGGCTGTTGGTCAGGCTTGAAAAGCTGCACATTTTTCTGCATAACTTGAGTGTTTGCTGCTTCTCTGCACAGATCGCCCTGACTGTGTGGATGGGCGTCTCTCGTTTACTTTTTACTCCCACTTAAAGAACATGAAGGAAATCTATGTGACTTCCCCTATGGACAGGAAGGACCAAGCTGTAAAAGGACAGGTGAGCAACCAGTTACATTGACTCTTTGTTTCCTCCTTCATCTTCATTATCATCATCATTGCTTTTACAACGCTCCTCATAATAATCTCTGAGTGCCAGGAATGACTCTTCTCCTCTCCTCTTTCCCTTGGCTTTGCATGTCACCAATTAAACCCTGGATAAGCAAGAATAGTAGTCTTGAAAGATCATTCATCACTTAACTCTCTGATTTACATGCCTGCCATTAACTCTTGGGGTGTTGGCAGTAAGTCAAGCCCTTATGGCAGAACCCCAGTGCTCCTCCCAGTTGCACTTAATTGGGAGGCCATATCTGTGGACTGAGGATAGGTGAGAAATGCTGAATTCGTTCTTTCCCAGACAGAAGAGACATGGTGCAAACAGGCTTGGCCACTGTGCTTGAATCTGAGCCTAACTGCATGCTTTCTGTTTGCAAAGGTCTCTTTCTACCGAGGGGCAGTTCCTGAGAACATCCCTGAAGAGGCCAGCAGGAGGAGGAGAGGACCAGACTCCCTCTGGCTCGTTACTCTGCCCATCAAACTGCCTGTGAGTTGTTTTGTCTCCTATAGAAACAATAATCTAGATGGGGTAAGAGCATGGCCTTTCTGCTCAGCTAATTTTGTCTTCTACCATGAGAACAAATGCAATGAATGACTGAGAGAAATGGCTGCCCAGCCATGTCATGGTGATTTCCCAGTCTCCATGAGCTCTTCTGAAAAGAGAAACATGAATAGCTGGGAGTGGTCTCCAGCTGTCCTGCTCATCTTGCCTGTCAGCCACAGGCTTGTTGGGTAGGTGGTCAGAGAGGGTGGATCCTTTGAACGAATGAGGGATGTACAACAGGAGGAAGCTCGCTGTAATTAAGGGAAGTGTCTATGTTGTTTCTAAAATTCTTAGTCACACAGCTCATTCAACAGGAGAAAAGGAAAGGTCTAGAGTGAGGTAGGTAGACTGGATTTGAATATAGGTGTTGAGTGTAAGTATTCTGGTGTGAGCCACCAGGCTTTAAAGGCTAGGCTGTATGTTACAGTGAGAAATACAACTTTTGCTTATGGAATTTAATTGATTTTTGAGAAGCTTAAAACAATAAATACCTTTGTAGGCTGAATGCTTCCCTTCAGATCATGTGCCATGATCTCACATCTCTTTCTGACGCATGCAGCCTCATCTACAAATCTAGACTAAGTGTTTCTTACCACTTAGACACATATGCTTTGGGGAGATGGTTCCTTGAGAAATGCTCTGCAAAGACAAGAAAGGAAATTTCCAGTGTGAGCTATGACTATGAACACTATGATCTGATGTCTTTCAGAGGCAGTAAGCATTGTTGGTCATTGACAGTGTGAGTGGTCCTTGCTTCTTACAGCCTGACTCTTCAGCCCCAAATCTTCCTTCCTCCCTAGTAGGAGACTGAATGGCCAGACACTGTCCTCTACAGAAACAGTTTGTTTAAGCATATTCTCTCTCCCTCTTCTCCATGACACAGCGATTGAAGCCCCGCTGGGGTGAGAACCCTGGTGCCCTGAATGGGTTCTCCTTCCCTCCCTTGAACCTGGGCAATGCTGAGACTGGCTACCTGACACAGGCCAACCTGCTGAGCATTGCCAGGCGCGTGGGAGCTGACTGGCAGACCATCGGCCTGAACCTGGGCTTGACCTATCAGCAGATTGAGCGCATAGGATACAATCACAGGTAAGATAGGACACAGAGACAAACAGTGATGCATTCTGTCTGTCTGTCTGTCTATCTATCTATCTATCTAATAGTAGAAATTAGTGCTTGGTTGGTTCAAAGTTTTTCCACTGGAATTGTTTCACTGTATAAAAGATGGGTTGACTAATGGTTCTTCTCAGAACATTACCTTTTATTTTTTTTTTAATGGAAAACTCATTATTTTATCTTGCCGTTATAAAACAAAGCTGCATGTTTGAAAAACAAAATTGGGAAATAACAAACCTGATGAGTTTTGTAGTTCAGATGAGTCACATTCCTGTTTTGTTGTGTGATCTGGATTCCTGGCCAGACTCCATCTCTGACAATGAGCAGTGGTCTATGGCATTAATTGTGAATATCATCTTTATTCAAAAAGAGCTTGCAGTACATCATGGGACATGCAGTCTGACCAAAAAGCCAGAGCAGTAGGAGAGTATTAGACCTATGACCAAAGTACTGTTCCTGTGGGGAATTTGCATTCAAAAGCAGAATGCTTTAATTTGTTCCATTAGGAAAACAGAGAGATTTTAGTGCAGGAACTGCAGCTCCTGTATAGGTGGGGAAAAAGGAGGCCCACTGCGTGTTTTGTATGTCTGGATGGCTTCAGCCATGGGTTAGGACTCATGTAAGGCCTCTTTGGGTTGCTAGTTAGAAGAGTGTGTTGGTTACTTCTGTGTTTCTCCATTTCTTCAGAGAGGACCTTGACAAGCAGATCCTGGACATGCTTTTCTCATGGGCTCAGCAAAACTCAGAGGATCCTGACTGTGTGAGCAAGCTGATTACAGCCATGAAAGAGAGTGGCCGCCAGGACATTGCTGATGAGGTTGAAACCATCATTGAGCTGGGCCGTCAGAAATACAGGGAGTCCATCCGCCGGGTGGGCTTGGAGCAGGACAGCAGCACTGAGAACTCTGCAATAGCTATGGTGTAGCACCAAGCACAAGGCACTGGCTTTCGTATATCCCTCTGCGTAGCTGGAGAGATAATGCCTTGAGTCTCTTTCCACCTCAAGGGTCACTGTCTTCCTGGGGAGCTGGGTATGGATTTACTTGTGAACAGACTACTGAGGTTTCTTGAGTCTATACTCACATGCCACTTTCATAGAATCATAGAATAGAATAGTTAGGGTTGGAAAGGACCTTAAGATCATCTAGTTCCAACCCCCCTGCCATGGGCAGGGACACCTCGCACTAAACCATATCACCCAAGGCCTCGTCCAACCTGGCCTTGAACACTGCCAGGGATGGAGCATTCACAACCTCCCTGGGCAACCTATTCCAGTGCCTCACCACCCTAACAGGAAAGAATTTCTTCCTTATATCCAATCTGACCTTCCCCTGTTTAAGTTTTAACCCATTACTCCTTGTTCTGTCACTACAGTCCCTAATGAAGAGTCCCTCCCCAGCATCCCTATAGGCCCCCTTCAGATACTGGAGGGCTGCTATGAGGTCTCCACGCAGCCTTGTCTTCTCCAGGCTGAACAATTTCCTCAGCCTGTCTTCATATGGGAGGTGCTCCATTCCCCTGATCATCCTTGTGGCCCTCCTCTGGACTTGTTCCAACAGATCCATGTCCTTTTTATGTTGAGGACACCAGAACTGCACACAATACTCCAGGTGAGGGCTCACGAGAGCAGAGTAAAGGGGCAGGATCACCTCCTTCGACCTGCTGGTCACACTCCTTTTGATGCAGCCCAGGATACGGTTGGCTTTCACTTTGGCCAGTCCCAGGCAGTTTCCAGGGCATTTATGAGACTTCAATTCTGTTTCTTGACCCTGAGCTTTAGATTTCAGAAACATGGAGAAATTCAGAGACTGAAGTGTCTGTCTGCTGAGTGGTGGCTGAAGTAGCCATTAATGAATTAATACTCATGTCATGTATATCTATGTGTAACTTATTCCTGAAACTGTTCTGCCAGAAACACTGCATGGGAGCATTGGGGTCTGTTTGTGCTCCAGTGCTTGGTGGGAAACTGGAGGTGCAGTCTTGATGTGAGTTGTGGTGCAGTGGAGACTGTTCAGCTATTTCTGTTAATGGTATGTTTTGCTCACATGTAAATGTGAACTGTATTCATCATGAATACGTTTTCTGTTTTCTGCCAAATCTCTTCCAGTTCCCTCAAGCCCAAACCAAGCCCAAGGTATTAGTGGGGAAAAGAGAAGAAACAAATTTCTAACCGAATTACTCTTGGGTTTTTTTGTCTTTTTCCAAAAGCTATTTTGGAACAAATAAAACTTCTCAATGTCTCTAGGCTGCTGCACCTGCCAGGCTTTTTAGATGAGACCTACGTGCTGCTGGTCTGTGACAGAGTTCCAGTTTTATTCCGCAAATAAGTAAAAATCCATCACTCTGCTGTTCTGAGACAGACTCTAATTAAGGTGAAAGGAAAATTTCTCTTGCAGCTTCAAAGGGATATTCCTCACATCCTCCCAGTGAACTATGCCAGTGTAGTAGTGAAGGTTGGTGAATGAATTAAATTTGCATTTCAGAAACTGGTCTGGCCAGCTGGGAATAGGCACTGTTGGGTTGGCTTTAACAGTGTGGAGCTAATCTCCCAGTTCTGCAGTCTGAACAATCTGTATGAGGTTGGAAGTGTTTATTGCTTTTTAACTGCTCAGTCATTGACTGCTAACATGCCTGTCTGTTCCTGTTCCCCATATCATAATGGGCCTCAACTAATGACTAATGGGAAATGTCATGCAAGCTTTTTGAAAGACTACTGTAATCTAAGTAACCTCAGCTTTTTCAAGGCAGGTTTGGATATACCGTAGCTCTCTAAGCAATGCTTAAAGGGCTGTTCTCAGTCTGAAGAACAGAAGTCTGCATAAAAATACCAGATTGCAACACCCAGAGCTGCAGGTCTGAGAAGTCTTGGTGTTTTCTTACCCCTATGAAGAATCACTGGTGAATTCCCTGATGCTGTGTTTCAGACCTACCATCAGGACTGTTGAGAGGCATAAAATTGTTCTGCTTTTGGGGTTAGGGTTGTCTTTGGTTGGTTGGTTGTTTTGATTTGGGTTTGGCTTTGTTTGGGTTTTTTTAAGCTATTCTAACATCTTAGCCCATGGAGTGTTTACTGTCCAGTCTGGAGCACTGGACAAAGACTTGCAGACTTGAGTTGTCATCTCAGGTGTATGGACTCCCTCAGATCTGATTTCTTAGGCCGTGCTGCCCTTCAAGTCTCATGTTGGGTTCAAGTCAGCAGGTGTCATTTGTATGTATGTTTTCTCTGGTAGTCTGTGCTACGTGTTTTTGTCTGTAATTTTGATGTATACCAATAGGTATTTGTTCTTTCCTCCAGTTTTGGAGAGATGCATTTGGGCATGTTGCTCTCACTGGGAATAAAACAAGCACTTAACTGTTTCACAGCGTGGTCGGCTAACCCATAAATACCTTGAGGTGTTAGACAGACCTGCTGACAGAAAGACATGGATGAGCTTGGCTGTGCTGCACAGACATGGGAGAAGAGCTCTGAGGTACTGCTGCCTGCAAAACACAGGACAGACTGCAGCTGAATTAACGGTATCCTTGTAGCTAGGCCTTGCTACAGCGGGGATAAAGCAGGAAACAGAACATTCAGGGCATGGGTTTGGCTAGCTGAGTGTATGACTAGGGCTCAGGTGGTGCAAGTGAAGGGAGCAACAAGGCTAGTCTAGAGGGGATGGTGAACAGGCTTAGCCTGGCCTCCGGTGAAGGTGTGGGAGGCTTCTGGCTAGGCAGAGGAATTCTACAGGTAGCATAAGGTAGCATCCACATGGATGAAGCTAGGCTGTGCTTAGATTTCCATTTGTGATGGCCAGGCAACAGCTGAGTTAGCCAGTGCCAAAATAAGGGATGTATAGGCTGGACTCTGAATCAGCAGATTACCCTCTTCCAGGTAATAGGCTGGGAGAGCGGGAGGTTAGTGTTAGGTGTTTAGGTTGCTTTGAGTATGGGTTGCAACCAGGCCAAGTGACAGGGGATACCAAACCCTGGGCAGTATCATCAGTAGTCAGGTTTTGGGCTTAAGTAACTTAAGGGAAGGTAAGTAACTACCCCAGACAAGTATTGTTATCTCCAGTCTTTCAGTGCTGAGTGGCACCCCTTGGGCTGAGCCACCTGGCTGGTATCTGGGTTTCTTCTTGCAGTAACACTGAAGCAAGCACCCAGCTGAGGATACAGAGGTGCTAGAGGGAAATCAGAGCAACCGCACAACTGCTCTTTCCTTCAGCTGACTTGGCAGCAAATATTTGAGCTGGATGAAAGTCAAAGGAAAGCATGTTCGTTTCAGATGTTATCTTTGTCAATAATCTCTTTGAGGCACACTAACTCCTTCATAAGCCTGTAGTTGCTATGGCCAGGAAATACTGATTACAGTTGCAGTAGATGGTTGAAGCAGCAAACCATCCCCCCACCCCCCTTGATGTGTCATATATTCTTTGGAATCAAAAGATTGATTTCCTTCCTGGCTTCTTTCATGAATTCATCACATACCAGCCAGCTATCTGGCTTTTACTGGTGTCTTTTAAGCACCTTGCAGTGTCCTACCTGATGATCTGGTAGATTTTGTGGTTTTTACTGTGCATGATCCTGATGCATCTGAATTTTCTCCAAATAGATTTCAAACAGGAGAAATTGTTTGGGAGTGGGAACATTTTGCCCTCCTCCTTTTTTGACTGTAACATCTGTACCACTCTAACTCTCATAGTTAAACCCTCTCCTACTTCATAAACTTGCAGATCTCCCGTAGAATGACCAGGTGGCCCTGGGAGGTGAATAGTGTGTTTCCCCCACACCACTCTCCACTTCCAGGTTCTGCTAAGCGTGACAGTCCTCTAGCTGCCTGGAGACAGATTCAGGTAAGGCTCTTTCAGCCCCTGCACAGACCAATAAAAGAAATTGCTGAAAAATTAAAGGCCAGGCAAAGCTCAAATCAGTGTGTTAATTCTATAAAACAAAAAGAGGAAGGCAAGGCCTGACGGTATCCTGCAGGAGGTTAAACTGTTTACATGATCCCAGCAATCAAACATGTACAATTCCCACTAAGCGACCTGAAGGAAATAGGAAGGTGGGAGGGAACCCAAAGGGGCTGTGTTCAGTTTGTCTGCTTTCTGTGGCCAGACGATACTGTAAAATTCAGCACATCCATAGGATTGCTCTGATAAGGAGGAGGAGATACCTGTGGTGTAATGAGGGCTGGATGGTTCAGCCATGAACCTACTGAGCTTGAGACAAACCTGAGGGAGCATTATGAGATAACCTGCCAAATTATAAGATTTCCTGCTCTTTGGGACCCTACAGTGTCCATACTTGACAGTATCATGCTGATGTTGCTATTGAAAGGAAAATCTGATGGTCCTTAAATTCACTGCTTTCCCTCGAAAGGAGGATCACAGCAATTTTTGAGCCTTTAAAGACAAGAACTGCTTTCACTGGGAAAGGTGTGGGGCTGGTTTTCAGCCAGTGGTGCATCAGAGCCCCAGCCCAGGGCTGTCTTGAAGTGCACCCACCATGCTTATCAGTTTAATGTTCTTAAATGAAGAAAATAGCCTTTGCTACAATTAAGCATGTGTCTATTTCCTGAACTTCACAGAAATAAACTGTATGTCCTTAAAGCATGATTCTTCTGTAAACTGGTGTGGTTTGAAAATTCACAGGGAAAATTTGATGCTCATTTCAATGCTCAGCTACCTTGAAGGAACTTGGTGACTGGGTAATGCAGAAACCAAGCTGGCACCATGAGGATGGAAAATTTAGGCTCTACTCTTCCTGCCTCACTGTAGGTCTGTAGCTTGAACCCACGCAGAAGGCTGCTTTAGGAGGCTGGGACTAAGATCCTTTTGCTTGGTTTGCTCATTGAACACCAGTGCAGTTCTTGTCTTTTCCAGATAGGAAATAGTGGAACTGGAAAATGTGCAAGGGGCAGGAAGGCTGCTAAGACACAAGTACTACAGAGTATTTGGAACTTTTACAGCAGAGTGTTACACCTCCTGAGAAAGGATAAAGACTGTGAATAAACTGCTGTCCAGTGTTTCTCAACTAGGTGGCACCGAATGAAATACTCCAACATCACCTGCAAATAAGCAAGAGGAGATACATCTTTCCCCCACTGTG